CGACTTAGCTGGGAATGACCATAATACGACCTCACTCTTCGACATACCTTAATACTACTCGAGTACCTGTGAGCCAGTGCTCCGACATACCGTGCCTGTCGATCGCCTCCTAGCTCTCTCCAGCTGTCAAGGGGTGAATGCCGCCCTTTGAGCTGATACGTGCCAGACATGTAGTGCCCTGTCTGGTGTGTGGTCCTTACTGAGCCTCGAGGCCTTTTCAAGGTGCCAAAGCAAGGATGCTTGACTAGCCCGCTTAAATCTCTCTCCACGTGAGAGTTGAGTGGTCCATAACCACCACCATCCTTTGAGCAACCCTCCAAGGAGGGTGGTCACTTGTATTCTCGGATTTGCCTCCTGTCTACGCCATTCCCGCCTTCAGGGGGTAAGCACACCCCTCCGAATTTCCCAGACACGTATGTGCATTCCCTATTGTGCGAATGCAAAGGACTCTTGCGCGTAAGCCTCGCGCCACCAAAATCTCCTTGATCGGTTCTGGAGACTATCGCGTCGCGTCCGCACTAAACTGAGATACAACACTTCTCTCCAACTAAGATCGCCATGGGAAAGTTGTGTGTTGCATAGAGCTTGAGATTCAGTGCATGCATAATCATCATGGACGAGAATATGATTACATCTCATTCCCTGGTTTCGCTGCCTCTGGCGCTGATGGGAGTGGGGTCCGTCGTCCTCGCGGTAGGTCAATAATTTGTCTCAAGATCGCTTGTTGCGACATGAAGATACAGACTATGTGTCTCTTAGCAAGTTCGCGACCGCGCTGACACTGAACTTGCAGTTCCTGGTGTACGGCATATATCAGGTTTATTTCCACCCTCTGGCCAAGTATCCTGGTCCATGGCTTGGCAAATTCACCGAAGCCGGGGCAGCGTATCATGCTGTCAAAGGAGATTTACATCTACATATCTGGTGGTGCCACCAGAAGTATGGTGAGCTTAAATGGATATAGTGACCTTTCGATGGAAAGAGGTCTCGAAGTGCTGACTGAGGTTGTTTAGGGCCGGTAATTCGATATACGCCGAACTTGGTAATTTTTAACACAGCAAGTGGAATGAAAGGTGTGTTGCTGCTATGCAAGAAAATGGCCTTTGTTTCTGGGCTAATCAGAAAAAAAGATATCTACGTCCGAGGGAAGGACCTTCGGAAAGATGTCCACTACGGTGTTATTCAACTCGGCACCAAGAACCTCCTCACGGTCACGAGCCCCACGGACCACGCTAGACGAAACAAGATCATAAGCCCTGGATTCTCAAGCACGGCAATGCGCGAATTCGAGCCAAAGTTGTTGGCACATGTCCACAAATTCTGTAAATCGCTGTACCGCCCGAAATCCCAAGGCGATTCGGACAGTGCCTGGGGAAAACCAATGGTCATGTCAGACTGGTGCAGCTATTTTGCATTTGATGTGATCACGGAGCTGGTATTTGGAAAGGCAGTTAATCTACTCGGGAGCCAGCAGCACCGATGCACTGTGTACGACATCACTGGGATGATGAAGCGACTGTCACTGTTGATGTATGCTCCGTACGTGTTTCTGGGTCGACTGGATCGGAAGTTATTCCCTGATGAGATGCACGGAATGAAGCGATATCACCGGCTGGTGAACACTATGATGGCGGACGCCGCGAGCCTGTCAGGCCATGTGTTTAGTCGATTGACGAACGCGCGGGATAATAAGGTGAGCGCGGGGACTGGACCCGCATTCAGCGATGCGGACGTCTACTCCGAGGCTGCGATGCTGGCTGTTGCTGGTGGGTCACATATATTCCGTTACTTTGCTCCTTCTCATCTATCTCATGACTTGCTGATGGCATGAATGACAGGGTCCGACTCCACATCTGTCTCGCTCTGCGCCAATCTGTTCTATCTGGCGACCTATCCTCACGCCTACGCCCGCCTCGCTCAGGAAATCCGCACGACATTTCCAACACTGGACTCAATCCGCACAGGGCCCCTTCTTCTCCAACAGTGCCCCTATCTGCACGCTTGCATTAAGGAGACTCTCCGAATCTCTCCGGCCGTAGCCGGATGTCCCTATCGTCGGGTCGAAAAGGGAGACACCATAGTCGTCGACGGCCACGTGATCCCTGAGGGCTGCAGTGTCGGTACCGGAATCTACAGTATCCATCACAATGCAGAATATTTCTCGCGGCCAGATACGTTCCTTCCGGAGAGGTGGCTGACCAGCAACGCTGATGACTCGCTCGAGCAAGCGAGCATCACGACAGCCGCATATACACCCTTTTCACAAGGGACGCGCGCCTGCGTCGGGCGACATCTGGCACAAATGGAGCTGCAGTTAGCGCTGGCGTGCCTGATCTGGCAGTATGACTTCCGCCGGGCGGATGGCATTGCGGGGGAGATGGGAGCAGGCAATCGAGACTGTGGGGAGCTCGGGCGGTCGAATCCGCATGAGTTTCAGCTTTATGATCACATCATCAGCCAGAAGAGGGGGCCGGTCCTTCAGTTCAGGCCGAGGGAATTTTCTCAGTAGAAAGCATCGGCAGGCTGAGGCGGGAAGGCACTCGGGCTCGGCAGACAAGGCGGGCTATTCGGTTATACCTGAAGGCAAAAGAACGGGAGCAACGGGTTGTGCCTTGATTTGATTGATACCTTTTGGGAGCTCGGGAGTTTTCGATACGGAGTTCAAACCCAGATATGTGAATATGTGTATTGATGTATAGTGTGGGGGTTTGTGGTTTCAACTTCTCAACCAGACAGTCACAGCAATGAGAAAATTGTTGGGAAGAAGAACGGGGCAGTCGCCTACTTCATATTTACCAAGTGGTTCATTGAGAACATCAGGTGCGAGGCGGATCCGTTCTGCGTACTAGCGATCGGGGGGGGGTGGGGGGGTAGATTCCTCCGACATGGCAGTCCGTATCCACCGATAATCGGCTGTTTATTCACCCTGATCCTCGCCCTGGCCCCCTAAATGGGGCGAGCTAACAGCCTGGGAAGGACATGGTCAGTGCGCGGCATGATCAATCGCCGCCAGGGGATTGGTTTGGAGACAGCGACTGGACATCCCGGACGACAGTCCTCCTAGCCTTAAGGGTTGTTGGGTAGCATAGCCGGGGGATGAACAGAAGATTCATGTAGAAAGTAGCCTACTACTCTCCTCCTCCCGCCCGAAAGACATTACCGAGATCCGCCCAGCGGCTCACTATCTCCCGCTCCGGGATCCCGAGTGTGATACTCCTCCTGTGTTATACCTAGGTGAAGATAGGGATCTAAATTGGGAGCTTGCTCGATGTGGGTACGTGGAGATGTACACGTACTGTAACATAGTAGGAGTTGGTGAAGATGGTCTATCTAGGTTATCATATATCTACTTGTATGATTTCTGTCATGATGGTGTGCTATGTTCGAACAGTAACTGTCATTCACATCAATCTTCTTTACTATCTTATCGTAGTGCCCTAATCCTAGCCAGTAATTCTCTCGCCGTGATGCCAACACCGGACTAAGACCCGGAGGAGACCTTCTCCGGATTTCGTCCCGTTCTATTCTGATTGGTTCTTCGGTGGAGGGAACTTGTTGGGATGGTTGAGAGGCGAAGTGTTCAGGAGTAATAATCAGTCCGATTATCGGCAGTATCAGATGGATGGGGGGAGGTGTGAATTCTGTCTGATGCACTTGTTGGTTGTTGGTTTGAGAGGTGATGATGAGGATGCGGGAAAGCAGGGCGGGAGAGGGGGGGAGGAGTAGCGGAAGATGCGGAATAATATTGATCAGCGCTGATGCTTGGGATGTCATGTCGAGCCAAGAGATTCATATGTATGGAGTCTAACCTCGGGTCTGGCCGGGGTTTCCGGGGGGTTCTCGTTAGGCGCTGGATGTGGTTTGGTAGCCGATTACTGGAGGTGGGGTGGAGCTGAGTTCCCCACTCGGTGGGTGGACACCTGCAAGTAAGAGAGAGTATGAGAGTTGAGTTGAGAGATGACAACAGTACAGGGCAGGGTAGGTTGGATGAAGAGTGGAGGAAAACGGTCTCTATCGTTCTTTCTATCTATAGGTGTTATATTGCTCGGTGTGTGATACAGTATGAAACAATACAAACGAAATTAAGGATGAAGATTGTAAAGTGAAAAAAAGAAATAGGGAAAAGACAATAGTAACATGACGTTGCCACGCTCCCCCCGCATTTTCCAGCTGGCGGGCATCATGCAGTAGCTGCTTAGTCCAAAGTACTGTGTACTTGTACTTACTACTAGTAGTACATACTTACTTGGTGGATACTGGACCATATGCAAATCAAGTATTTAATAACAATCATACTATTATGGAGATGACCATTTGAAGAGAAATACGACTAAAACTACCACCCCGTAAATCTCCACCCCAGCACTGTACTGTAGGTTCCGATGCCCGAGTATGACCCATCAATCACTGTGACTGTACCAGACTCTCTGTACCACATCCAACAGTCACAGTGGTGGTAGTTACCTTCCCGGCCTGGCAGTGCTTGCCAGGCTTGATCCTCTCCTCTCCCTCTACTCACTTTGCTTAAAACTCACCCTCCCTGCTCCCTGTCCGTCTTTCCCCGCGACATTTTCCTTCTCCTCATCCTCCTCATCCATCATCTGACCAGGAACTTTTCCATCCAAGTTATAAATAAAATATCTGCCTCCTCCCTCCACCTCAAGCTCCCTCCCACCACCCCCCTCCTTTTGCTTCTGCATCGCCTTCTTTCATCCACGGTAAGTAGCTTCGGCTTTCCCCTCTTGGAAGATCCCCGGATGGTCTTGTGAAAGTGCCTGGCCAGGCCCAACTGTTTTGGCCTGGGGCATAGCCTCCAGACTTGGATTCCAAGCTTCTTTGTTTCCCCACCCCGCTTTTCCTCGTGTTGTCTTAGCTTTATATTCATTCCCTGCCTGTCGTCTCAACATTTCATTCAATCAGAGCAGCATTCTGTTCAGCATTGGCCATTGATCCTAGACACTGACAATAATCAATAGGTCTGGAGTGAACCCCGATTACTCCCTCAACATGGCTTCTACTACAACCACCACCACCACAACCCCAGCTGTTGCCGCCGCCAAAGAACCTCAGCCCGCCATGGACTTCCTTCATCACCCCTACACTCGTGCGGCGCTTCCCTTCGTCAATGGCGGTCTTGCTGGCATGACCGCTACTGTAGTCATTCAGCCCATTGACATGATCAAAGTCCGTTTGCAATTAGCCGGGGAGGGTGTGCGCACCGGACCTCGACCCTCGGCCTTTGGCGTAGCTCGCGACATCATCGCGTCTGGCAAGGTACTCGATCTTTACACGGGTCTATCTGCTGGTCTCCTTCGTCAAGCTGTCTACACTACCGCCCGCCTGGGTTTCTTCGACACCTTCAGCAAAATGCTCAACAAGCGCGCAGAGGCTGCTAACCGTAAGGTCACCTTTGCCGAACGCGCGGGGGCCGGATTGACTGCTGGTGGTATTGCAGCCATGATTGGCAACCCGGCCGATTTGGCCCTGGTCCGTATGCAATCGGACGGCCTCAAGCCTCCCGCAGCGCGGGCCAACTACCGCTCGGCGCTGGACGCGCTTGTCCGCATCTCCAAGTCGGAAGGTGTTCCAGCCCTGTGGGCCGGTGCCTTGCCGACCGTTGTGCGCGCGATGGCCCTCAACGTCGGTCAATTGACCTTCTTTGCGGAGTCCAAGGCTCAATTGAAGGCCCACACCAATTTGTCGGCCCAGAGCCAGACCTTTGCCGCCTCTGCGATCGCCGGTTTCTTCGCCAGCTTCCTCTCGCTGCCATTTGACTTTATCAAGACTCGTCTGCAGAAGCAGCAGAAGGATCCCTTGACCGGCAAGCTGCCGTACAAGGGCCTGCTGGACTGCGCGCGTAAGGTAGCGCAAGAGGAGGGTTGGTTGCGATTCTACCGCGGCTTCGGCACCTATTATGTGCGGATCGCTCCTCATGCGTTAGTTTCCCCACCCCCAAGACTTTCTTATCGTGTAGTGCTGTCACTAACCCCGCGGATCCACCAGCATGGTTACACTGATTGTCGCCGACTACCTCAACCTCATCACCAAGTAGTGTGTTCGAGATGATTTCCGACGTGGTTTCTTATTTCCTTATTTCCTTTTTCTTTTTTCTTTTGATTCATATTTAGGCATCACTCAAGAAAATGCCGCGTCCGAACAGATCATTCTGTTTCGCCCACACTACTATACATTCCACTCAATGCCCGATCGGCAAGCCACACCCGATCGGGCTGATGGGCTGACGGGCTGACGGACAGAACAGCCACGGGGTTGCATGCTGTCTGGCACAGATGCGATGATGTGAGACGGCTGTTGACTACGCTCTTTCTTCATGGCCGGTACCCTGGGTGGAGTTTCTTATTTGACTGAGCTTTTTCTGTGTATCTCTTACTAGTTATATATCCCAGGGCGTGCTCAAGGGACCGAGCACAAGGGTATTGCAGAACATGATCATGAGTAAACACTGATATTGACAAAGATACCAACAAACAAGTCTTCCTAGTAATCGACCTCAAAATCTATCTCATCGTCCGGGATAGAGTCTTGCTCTTCATCATCGTAGTCGTATCCGAGCGCTTCGTAGTCCATATTTTCGGAGTCTTCTGCGTCCAGGTCCGGGTCCGCGTATTCTGGTTTTTCTCCTTCTCTTTCCTCGTCTGGATCATCTGTGTCTTCTCCTTCCAATCTTTCATACACGTAATCTGGATCAATTTTCCGATATTCTGGGCCATCTTCCTCCACTTCGACATCCATATACCCCTCTGCTTCTGAATGCACCGATTGCACCTCTTCTTGGTCTCCTTCTTCGAATAGATCATCAATGTTGGCAACCCCTTCTCCGCCGGTCTTTGGCAAGGTGTCTATTCCCTCTTCCTCTGCTTTGTTATCCAGGTTTTCATTTCGCATGTGCTTGCCTTCTTCTTCTCCCTCGTTTGCTCCTTCCCATTCCGTTTGGCCTGCAACCTCACCGGCCATCGGCCCAGCATTGACGAAGCTAACTGATTCTTCTTCTTCTTTTTCTTCTTCTTCTTCTTCTTCCTCCTCCCCATCATCAACTGCATCATCAATCGCATCATCCGCTAGGAGCTGATTTCCATCTTCCTCACCCATTTCTTCTTGGTCTCCGAGCTCTGCGATTTCAGATTCGACGACAGGTGGGTTATCATCTTCATTCTCGATTCCTTCTTGCACTGCACTGTCCACCTCTGATTTCTTCTGTATTTCTGAATCAGTCTGTCCTTTTGATTCATTATCCCTCTTTGACTCATTCTGCCCGCCTAATTCTTGCTCTGGGGTCTCAGTTTCAGGATTTTCATGTTGAATGAACTCGGGGTCGACTCCATCTTCTTTCCTTCCTTCTTGCACTGCAGTATCCGCCTCTGAGATGATTTGTTCCTGTTCCTGTTCCTGTTCCTGTTCTTCTTGCTTTTCTGCTCTCACAGTTTCTTCTTCTTCTTCTTCTTCTTCTTCTTCTTCTCTCATGTTCTCATCTTCTTGGTCTTCAGGCTTGGCGATATCGTCTTCAATGATATCTTCTTCAACGATATCATCTCCGCCTCCTTGCTCTGCACCGTCAAGCACTGCACCAACTGCGGTGAGCTCATTTCCATCTTCTTCCACATCATCCTGATCTCCTTGCGCGACAGGTTCCTCCTCAACAACATGCTGATCTTGATTCTGCTCCTCGTTTTCTTGCTCAGCTCGCTCCACTGACTCAGCACCGACGTGCAGACCATCATCTTCCTCCCCTTTCTCTGAACCACCCTGGTCTTCTTGCTTGTCTGACTCAGCCTCAGCATGTTGACTCTGTTCCTGGTCCTCTCTCTTCTCATCCACCACATCCCTGCTTTCGGATTCATGGTCTTCTTCCTTGTTTGTCTCTCTTATGCTTGTTTGATCAGTTTGTCCATGCGCGAGTTGCTGGTTCACATCTTGATCCTGAGCTTTATGCTCAATAAAATCAGCATACAGTTGACGACTTCCATTGTTTTCTTGCTCTTCGTTCTGGACATTTTTCTCTTTTGTCTGAACCACTTCCTCATCTTCTTCAATGGCCTCCGCTCCCTCATTGATATTTTCCTGGATTTGCTCTTCAACAAGTTGAGGTTGAGCATCAGCAAGTGCCTCATCTTCCTGCTCTGCATCTGCCTGGACATCTGGCTTGACCAAAGCATCGCCAACGCCTTGTTTCGACTCGCTCCTGCTACCGTCCTCCTCCTCATTCTGTTCTTGTCTAGTTGGCTCATCCGCAGCTTCTTGACTCTCTTTCTCCTCTTCGACGCCCGCGTTCTTCAGCCTAACTGAACCAGTGTCAACACACTGCCTTTCATCCCCATCTTCTACCGTTCCGTGGTCATTCTGGTCATCTGTTTCAGCGTCCGCGAGCTGACTCTCATCTTCTTCTTCCCCATCATGTACTTGGTCTTCGTTCTCCGATTGTTCGACAGCATCGTCCTCACTCTCCTCCTGTATCACTTCTTCTTGCAGAATTTCTTGTTCGATAGCTCTGGTGTTGACATGTTGATGCGGTTCGCCTTCTTCTTTGAGGACATCTTCCTCGTTTTCTTGTTCAAGTGGTTGAGCATGAACACACACGTCCTCTTTTTCAATTTCTTCAACATCGGTGTGCTGTTTCTTGCACTCCCCTAATGCTCCCTGGTCATCTTGTTTAACCGCAGTGTCAATATCATGGATTTCTATTTTCTTCTCTTCTTGATGGACATCCTGATATTCTTGTTGTTCAGCTGATTCAGCTTCGAGATATTGCATTGCCTGATCCACATTTTCCGCATCTTCCTGCCTTTCTTCTCCATGTGTTTCCTGTGATTCCTGTTCCTCTTGCCCTGGCTCCTCCTCGTCTTCTCCATCCATTTCCCCCTCATGCCCTTGTGTCTCATTTGTCTCATGCTGAATTGTGTTATCAGCATTCTGCACCGATTCTTCGACTTCTTCATCTCCCCCTCTTACCTCCTGTACTTCTTCCTCAACCTCCATCTCATTCTCTTTGCTTTCCTGCTCCTGAACTCCAACTACCTCATCTTGAAACGTGTCATCAGCCACCTGCATTGTCTCTTCAAACTCTGCTCCTTTGTGGCCTTCTTCGTCTCTTACCTCCTGATTTCCCTCATCAGCTTCCTCCTCTTGGCTTTGCTCTTCCAGCTCCTGATCTTCATTTACCTCGCCTTTTGATATGTCATCAGCCACTTGAATCGCTTCTTGATTTTCGTCGTTTTCGTCGTTCTCTCCTGCCCTTACCTCCTGGTCCTCATCCTCGTCCTCCTCCCCATCATCATCATCATCATCATCATCTCCTGCCTGCCAATGTCCTCCGTCCTCAAATTCTTCGTCTTCCTCTTCTTCATTTTCCACATTTTCATCCGCCTCCAGGTCCACAACAGCAGCGACGGAGACACCGCGTTCCTGTTTGATTCTGATCTGGTCTTGCTGAGACGCCACTCTTCGTGAGGTAGCTGTGTCGTCATCCTCATCATCACTAGCCACCGTGATCCCACTTTTCCTACTTCTCTTCCTCCGCCCACCCACACCTCCTTGATCATACTCTTCCTCCTCCAGTTCTTCCTGCTCCCGCCTTTGAGCAGCCTCAGCTCTCTTCAACCTGCGCAGAAGAACGGGATCACTTCGCAGATCAAACTCGGTCAAAACCACCTCACACACCGGACACTTGACACAGTGTACGCGACGCGCACGTCGGCCCGCGTGCCCACTGGATGAACCGTGTCTCGGGTCCGGGGCGGTGGTGCGGCTCTGCGCAATCATTGCGGTAATGGCCTCGCGCTCAAAGCTGTGCGGGCATTTAGTGCTGGTGACCGGATCCTGGAAGGGGAGGAGAGTAAGGGGGCACTTGAGGGAAATGCGTTCACGGGAAATAGCGATGTCTTCGTCGGAAGGGTCTTCGTCATCGCCTTCTTCAGCGGAAGGATTTTTGGCGTGGCGAGAGGAGGATGCGCCCATGGTAGCTGACACTCCCGATACTGCGCTTGTCGCCGCGCCTCTACTGCTGGTAGCCGAAGTTGTGGGTTTCTTGTCGGCCCCTTCTTCGAGGTGGGCGAACCAGGTCGAGGCATGCGGGAGTGGGGGGATATCATCACCCGGGTGTTTGGCTTCGTGGATGATGCGATAGAATCCGATGTAAGCGTTGTTGGTGGAGTATCTATGGCCTTTTTAGTCTCTCATCCTGTCTCAATGGAAAGGGAAGTAGCATTGACATACTTCTGGGTAAGCGACAACCCACTCCACTTGTTCTTCGTCGCGGTGACACTCTCCTCTATCTTGCCCACCAACGTCGGTCCGGCATTTTCTTCATCGTCATCACCTCCCTCCCCCTCCTCCTCGTCATCGCCACGAGCATCAGCATCCTCCATCTCCTCATCCCTATCTTCATCCCTCCTACTCCGCCGACTACTCCTTGTCGATCGACTCCTAGTAGCCACTGCGCCATCCACCACATTAACATTGCCATCCAAGCCCCGTAGCATCTCACTCAGTCCCTCCAGTTTAACCTCCGCATCAATCGCACCCCGCATCTTTTGATCCAACTTGGCGGTTGTAGCTTTCACCTTTTCTTTAAGCGCGGCCACCTCCTCCTCATCATTATCATCCTCCCCTCCCTCCTCAGCATTTCGCTCCTTCTTCCGCCGCATCCGCTCCTCTGCATCCGTCAACCGTTCGTTGATATCCCCGGCCGCCTCGGTCAATTTTTCCTGCGCATGCTGGAGATGCGTCTTCAGGTTCCGAAGGGGTTGGCTGGTCAGGAGGCTGAGGAGGACGGCGTGTGAGGTCGCGTGGAGGGTCAGTTGGTCGGATTTAGGGTTGGAGATCGTCGGGGGCTGGTACGGTGGTGGTTGGGGGATTGTAGAGGAGGCTGTTGTTGATGTGGAAGATGAGGAGGTGGGTGCGGGTTCGTTTCGGCGACGGAGGGGCATATTGGGAGGACTTGCACTTGCAGCAAGTAAGTTGAATTGGGGCTGTAGAGGCTGCTGCTGTTGTTTTGGTGGTGGCTATTGATGTTGATTCTGATATCGCTCTCTGGTGTAGAGAATGTGTTTGATGTCAGGCTCTATTACGAAGAGTAAGTGGGGAGTGTAGTTAGCCGGAGTAAGTCCCAAGAGATCCGACTTGTTTTGCCAACAAGATAGTTTGTTGATCAGAGAGGAGGGGCTCTGTACGTGCCGTGCTGTGTGGTTTCGGTCTTGGCCTGGTCTGGTGTGGTGGAGGTGGGGGGAGTGCGTGAGGGAGGGCGCTCTTTGTTCACTTGGTGGGCTCGATCAAGTCAGAGAAACTATAAACCCTCATCAAAAAGAAACCTGTTACGTTAGTTAAACTTACCGACCCTGCCTTACTTACCTGACCCTATCACATAGACTGCTGCTGCGCTGTCGCCTGCAAGATGAAAGAAACCTCGAGAGCAAAGAAAGCAAGACGCGACGCGGTCACGCTAGTATGGTTCGGGTTATAGCTGATTTACACATGTATCGAGTACCTTATCGGCGCTTATCAGGGTGGGTTATCGGTGGGGCGCGCGGTGGTCAAGTATGTGGGTTAGGGACCTGATTTTCTGCCACCGCCAGAATTGAACAGTTTCGATGCCTGGTTTTCGGGACCTGTGCATGTGTGGGTGCCTGAATTTCTCTTGCGAGGTCGCGGGCGTTCTGCCGGTCATGTGTCTAGCAAGGCGGTGAGAGTTTAACCAGTTTCGCGGCCTGAGTTTCCGGAACTGTTCATATGTGGGTGCCTGAATCTCTCTTGCGAGGTCGCGGGCGTTCTGCCGGGTCATGTGCCCCCAAAGCGGTGGGAGTTTAACCAGTTTCCTCGCCGAGTTTTGGCCGGCTGGTCCAACCACTTTTCTGCCCTTGGGGGGCGGTCAGGGAGAAAAGAACAGTTTACCAGAGCCGAGCTTTGGCCGTGGCATCTCTCAGTATCCGCTGTACTTGGTAGAAGTGAGGATGATTTAGATATTTTAGTTTAAGACTGCTGATCTACCTCTGGCTACATTGCGTGAAGTATGATAGAAGCTATATGCATTAATTGAGTGAACTGTAGCTAGTTGTATTGCCAGCAATATAGATAGTGATAGTGATAGCGAAGTACCAAGCTAGAGTCAGACCCTTCATCCAACTAGACCTTGTAGAAACAGAAGGCGTGGTAGAAACCTATAGCATCTCGTTAGAGTGGCTGATACAACCAATTCCCCCAGAGAAGTAGTACTTACTGACTGCCTCCTGCTCCTCCGCCGTCATGCTCAGTTGCCCAGTATTGCGATCACGCACACCCATGCGCTCACTCAGAGGCCCCAACTCGGCATCATCCTTCTCATCGCGCCACACTTCCAGGAACGGCTTGCGATATTGCAATTCCAAATTGTACTCCTCCGTCAAGCTATCTCACATCGTTAGCCATGTTCGTACCGATTGACCAGAACAAAGAACAAGTAAAACACGTACGCTCGGAATGCTTCCCAGGGCACCACGTATTCCGGCACCTCCTCCACAGCCTCCTGCATGAAGTAGTTGTACCTCCAGCCGAACGGCGGCCGGAAGATGCCATCTTCGGGCGTATCCCCGGGAAATCGCACGCGGTAGATAGAGTTGCCCCATTCGACCTTGGTGGTGTCCTCCTCCACTTCTCCGTCTTCGGGCTCGGCTTCTTCGTTCTTCGACGCCGCCGCCTCCTCGCGCGCCTTGCGCTTAGCATGGCACTCGGCCACCTTGGCACTGATGACATCTGAGTTCGGGCAGACACCCAAGAACCGGCCGCCCTTCTTCAAACAGCCGGCCACATTGCGCAGCATCTGCCGGGCCTTCTCCTCGCTCTCAAACGCATAGTGGATCGCGAACATCGAAGCGACCACGTCGAAGCCACCTCCGCCCCAGCGCGAGCTCATCAACGAACCTCCGGGTCCCGCGTTGGGATCAATCCCAACCCGCTGCACAATGTCGATATCCCCCAGCCACTCGCCAAAGCAATCCTTCGGCGCGAACTCCGCATGGAAACTCGGGCCCCGGCCGCCACCGCCGCCACCACCCCCGCGACCACCGCGCGGACCTCCGCGTCCCGACCGCATCTGGCTGTATCGCTCACGCGCCTGCACGATGGAGACCTCAGCCGGATCCAGGCCCACGTACAGATCCACCGGCTGCGGCGCCAGCTGCCACTTGCCCAGATCACCACCCTTCCCGCAACCCAAATCGATCACCAGGAGCTTCTTCTGCTCGACGGGCGGCGGGCCCGTGCCGTCGGCCCAGTCCTTGGTCCCGATCGCGCGGGCCACAAACTCCTCATCCGGCGAGAACTTTTGGATGAGCGTGCTCTTGACCCAGTTGTTGAAGCTGCGCAGGCCCTTGATCTTACTCTCCGTCTTGCGCCACTCGCGGCCCCGCTGCGGCACGGCGTTGTAATGCTGCCGCACGAGGTCCGTCACGCCCCGGATCTGCGAGTTGCGCATCGCCTCCTCCTGCTCCGTGCGCTCGCGCTCCTCTTGTCGCCGCCGGAGGGTTTCCCGGTCCACCAGGCCCATCCGCGCGCCACCGCCGGGCCGCTTGCGCGGGCGCGACTGGGCTTCCGGGGTCGGCGACCGCGGCGGCAGGGGAGGCGAGGGGGATCGATTGTGGGCGTTGCGGTTGCGGTTGGGGCCGCCAGCGGGCTCGTCGTCCCGGTCGCGACGCGAGTAGGCCGATGGAGGGGTGCGGCCGCGCTTGCGGAGTTTCTGGTGGCGCTCCTCCACGCGCTTGCGTTTGGAGGTGGGTCGATATTGTTGATCTGTCGTTGCCGTTGTCGAGGCGGGCTCCTCCTCGGGGTATTTGCGCTTGTAGGGGTCATGGCTTTCTCGTCCGTGGTGGCCGGTGGGTGAGGGAGAGCGAACAGGCTCGGAGTACGAATAGTCGCCCATTTTGGTGGATGGACCTGGTTGTTTGGGTGGGGGCTTTTGTCGGGTTGAAGTCGAGGTGAGGTTGCGAGGAGCGGGTTTGTCGGGGAGAGTTGGAGAGAGGGGGGCCGGAATCAGTGAGATCGGAGACTTCAATTGTGGCTCATCTGTAATCTGTTGAGTGGCAGTGAGTAACGGTAAAGAATTAGGTTAAGTTGAACTATCTTCAGTCCCAACGAAGTGGTGAAGAACAGAGATTTCACCGCAAGTGCAGCAAGCAAACAAACAAAGCCAGCCGCCCAAATCGGGGAATCACCGCCTCCGACGCCACCACTTGCAAACTGTAGACTCCACCGGGAAAAGGGTTCCTGCAGTGGTGTTGTTTCTGGAGCATGGGATTCTGGGGTTCAGAACACGTACAGCAGAAGAGGGTGAGTGTCTTTTTTGTTGTTGTTGAGAAGAAGCGATGGTTGAACGGGGACGGTTTGGGGGAGATGGAGAAGACGAGGCCGGCGGAACAACTTCCGCCTTCTCCTCCCAGCGATCCCGTGCCGGATCATACATGCTGATGCTGCCTCGCCCACCCTCGTGTGTTGCTTCATCGGTGGTCATGGTGACAACAGTACACAAGAAGCTCCCTAATGAAAGATGACGTGGAGGGGGCATTCAAGTCCGATCTAAGGGGCCTCGCCGTCTTTTTATTCTCCCTGAATTCGTGCTGCTTGTGGTTTCCCTGGTTGGAGGCTAGCCCCAACCGTGTTTCTCTTTGGCCGCATCCGGACAATCGCAGCGCGTGCTTGCTGCTGAAGGAGTTGCGATGTGATTCAATTCTACCAACTGGAATGCTTGCTCACAAACAGCTGCTAACCTGCTACTAAATATCACTACTAGGACTTTGAATTTGTCTACCTGGGACGGAAGATCAGATGATAGTCCGGAATATGCGCCGTGAAACAATCCAACACCCCGTGGCCGACTTTCTCTAGTGGCTCTTTTCCCTCTCCGGGGGGAAACTCGAGGTCGAAGTTTTTCACAATGGTGGCCACGACAAGTCGCATCTCCATCATCGCAAATTGCTTCCCCGCGCAGGCATATTTTCCGGATGAGAAGGACTTGAATGCTTCCTTGCAGAGGACCATCTCCGGCTTGCTCGACCACCGCTCGGGGACGAAGCTATCCGGGTCGACAGAGTTTCGTGGGTCTGTGGACTCGTCAGCTTGCGCTTCCACGGTCTATCTTGGATCAGAGGAGGCTCGAACCTCGGTGAATGGCGTAAGTAGGTGTAGAGACTATTGTCCTTGGAGGGATGTAGACTCCGGCAACCATGAGCCCTTCAGGGCCAGTTTCGCGGGGGACACCGCTCGCCACGCTGGGATACATGCGAAGACCCTCGTTGATGCAGCTTTCCAGCCATGGCTTGCCTGCTAGCGCGGCATGAGTGATTGCCTCGCCGGCAGAGACACAAGAGTCCACCTCCTGCTGCAGCTTCTGGAGCTTGTCTGGATGCTGCGCCAACAGATACAGAAGCGCACTGACCGTCGCAGCCGTGGTATCGCTGCCAGCAGTAATTACAAGCTCCGAGTCATAGACCAAGTCTTGATCTATTTCGCTCTTCATTTGGCCTTCATAGTTGGCCAAAGCTCCGTCGATCAGATAGCTGAAGAGGTCCTTGTGGTTCAGCTCCATCTTCGCCGATCAGCAAGATCCTTTCATTCGGCTCCCGTGATCCAGAAGGCTCTCTCTTACGTACCTTTTTTCTTTTCTCCAACTGTTCGCTACACCAGTTCAGCCAAAGCTGGTTCTTGGCTCGCAGCCCCGGGGAATTCCGCACCAATTGCGCAATCCAGCTCGCGCACTGCAACACGCTCGCAATACGACCAAGATCCTTCATCTGCTGGATGTTCGAAGGCGGAGCGCCTTGGAGCATGTTAAATGATTTGCCGAATGCGAGGATGCCCATCGAGTCCCAGGTAAACCCGGCGATCAGCTCATTGACTTCCTGCTTGTGCGGGGCTCGAGTGGAGATGAGCTCGACCAGAACTCGGCAGTGATCGAGGATGAAGGGCTCATACCCGGCCAGTGCTAGCTAGGGGTGTCAGTGTCAGATCGGTCGTGAAGGGGGCAGTATTAGCTGGTGGCATCACCTCGAGGAGTGAACCCACGATCCCAAAGCCGCCTCCGCTTTGAATGGAAAGCCTTGTCTCTGGTCATCTGCAGGGAATGGTGGGGATAATTCAGGTCGTAAAACGGACCCTTGACGCACGATGTTCCCGGCCCGTGTATAGCCTTGATGGCTGCTGGATCATCTATGGAGATCTCACGTGGCTCTAGTGGTCCGGTCAATCAAGTCCTGACTTTCGTAATTTGCCATCCCAAATCAAAGAGAAATAAAGAAAGCTGACATTATTGATAAAGACTTACATACTAATTCGAACAAAGGTCCCGTATTGACGATGGAGCTCCTGCACCCGGAGATGCCATTTGGCATCGACCACCGCCGCCTTGATCGACCAGAGCGCAGAGATCCTGGCGAGCTTGGGCCCGGGAAAACGCCGCAATGCATGGAAGAAATACCGATAGACGGCGATGGACAAACACAAGGATGCGTCAAAGCTCACGACGGCGTTCAGCGTGAGCCAGAATGCATTGGAGTAGCCCGCGCCGGCGAGGAGGAAGAGCACTACGGCCGGCCCCAGACCGAGAGTAGCCAGAATAGGAAATGCATATACATCCCACTCGGAGTGGATCAACAGGCCCAGGTGACCGGTAACTCCCAGGATGATTGCCAAAATGCAGGTTGATACTTGAATCGGCTCCATGTTCATGCATGCAGGCAAACTGGAAGGAAAACAGACTTTTACATTAGAGCCAGGGAAGGAAGAGTAGGCGGAGGGGGAAAGAAGAAGAAGGTCATGCTTCACACGCAAACTACAATATATTACGGTTGGTTTGTTGCTTCTTCATTCAGCTTCTATCAATGATATCCATTCATTTCTGAGAGGGGAGTGGTTCTTCCTTCCAGGCCTCCGAGAAGTGCTGACCTCAACTGCGTTTTCTGGATAGCTAAGGGTATCCTGGCTCCGAGAAAATGTGACAATGACTACGAGAGGGGGGGGGGGGCAATTGTCATACTGAAGCGAGATCATCGTCCATCCATTGAAAATCGCCCAGCGTTGCATGTCAGATGTTGACTCTCTCCTTCATCGATCGAGAGTGATTTCTACTCGTTGAATGTTCTCTTCCGAGTAACATGTCAGAGTTCATTGTCTCCTCGTGTAGCAGTGACAGTGAATCCTTGAGTCGAGAAGCCCGGAAGAAGGACCTGAAGCCTAAGAGGACTACCATGCTATCGCCGAGGAATACGAGCAAAGAGTTATTTAAGGCATACGGATACCTAAGGCTGACTGAGCGGCCGCGGTGACCCTGGGAATATCGCGTGTTTTGAATGCAAAACTACTCATGTTTCTAGAGTCATCAACTGCGAGAATAGTCGCACAACCCCCGGCTTTCGACGTTAGACAGAGGGAAGCTGCGATAATGGGTCCCCAATAAGTGGAGTGAGAGAAGGAGGTCTCTGTGAGAGGCTGACAAGGATCCATGGCCGTGTAATTGCTCCGAGCATAGAGCCTACGGTGACCGCTAACATAATCGAAAGAAAAGATACTGTTGGATGAATGGGAAGATGTAGGTCTCGGTCGTGGAAAAAAGCAAGAACAGGAAAAAAGAAACAAAAGAAAGAAATTGAGACAGAAGCGTGACCTTCAGTTGTGATTATGACTGCAAGTCCAACTGACGAACAATCGATGAATGATGGAAGTTCATGACCTGGTCAACTATTATCATGACAATATAGGTTGTCCAAAGAGCATCTGGAGATTATTTGCTTGACTGCATCTATCCGCTTACGGGATCCAACATCGTAGAGGACAAGGCAGCTTATACTTCCTAGCTAAACTCAATCCTTAGTTAAAGCTATTCCTAGTCAAAGCTAATGTATAGAATTGATCGGAGAATTATGGTGGCGTGACTTGAGCCGAAGAGCCGAAGAGCCTTGTTGTCACCCCCCAATTTGCAAGGGCCGTGAACCCTCGGAAATTTATGACTAAACTCAGAAAGCCAACCTACCGGATTACCACCATGACACAGTGTGGTAAAGAAATACAGAGAGTTGGAAAATAATTAGAACAGGGAGAGACAGACATGTAATGCTGAGTTCAAACCACAACGCCGCTGTATGTATCGCGAGAACCACTCGTCCCCCCTGGCATCCCCCTATCTGGAAGTACACCACGCCATACCAGGTATCACCCACTCTATACAACCCCCTACTGACTTTTCAAGTTCATCTTCTCGTTTCGTCCCCAGATGGATAGCCAGTCTTGCACAGAAGCACTGGCCAGCTTTAGTTCTGTAAAACATGCATTCCGCACCCCCTCGCTCTGAATCACCGCCAGAGCTTTCCTGATATTTCGGGGGGAGCTTGTCTCCAACGCTCTGGCCACCCAGTGGCCATCGGGGGCTTCAAGAGCCAGGATGATGGGATACGAATACTCGTGGTTGCGCAGGTCCTCTGCCAGCGCACCTTTCGCCTTGGCGTACTCGGAGGAGTAGACGTTCTTGCAGTCGTTCTGAAGTTGAGAGCACCATCTGTGTAGCGGGTTATATATAGTCAGCGCTCGGAGGGCCACTTCTTCAATTCAGAGAAGAGAAGGAAAAGGCAAGGGTGAGATATACGCCAAAGTGGTCATCGTCTCATTCATCGACGTGTCTTCCTTCACCAGCTGAGCCAGCATCCGAAACAGGGCCCCTGTCTTCAGGGAAGCCATTTTCTGATATGCCGCTACACGCTCGGTGTGCGATGTCGGAAATACACTCAAGCCATCTCGCCTCCACACCAACGACAGGTCCTGACCGGCCAGAATCTCCTCCAGATTCTGCATCAAGAAGGGAGCCAGCTTCGGGAACCGCTGCACCGTCTCGTTCAGGATCTGCGTCACCCGGTAGTAGGCCCGGTTGGCGGTCTC